AAAGAGAATCACCTATATCCTGTGGAAGAAAACTCTGAATTCAAAACCATAGAGGAGACAACAGGAAACCATCTATCTTTCCCAAGAAGTCATGGCAATCAGATAATAAAAAAGGAATCAGTGAGCCATGATCACCTATATCCTGAAAAGGGAGAATGAAAACTCTGAATTCAAAACCATAGAGGAGACAACAGGAAACCACTCTGCTATCTTTCCCAAGAAGTCATGGCAATTCACAGATAATAAAGAAAAGGAATCAGTGGAGAGCCATGATCACCTATATCCTGAAAGGGAGAATGAAAACTCTGAATTCAAAACCATAGAGGAGACAACAGGAAACCACTCTGCTATCTTTCCAAAGAAGTCATGGCAATTCTCAGATAATAAAGAAAAAAGGAATCAGTGGAGAGCCATGATCACCTATATCCTGAAAGGGAGAATGAAAACTCTGAATTCAAAACCATAGAGGAAGACAACAGGAAACCACTCTGCTATCTTTCCCAAGAAGTCATGGCAATTCTCAGATAATAAAAAAAAAGGAATCAGTGGAGAGCCATGATCACCTATATCCTGCAGGGAGAATGAAAACTCTGAATTCAAAACCATAGAGGAGACAACAGGAAACCACTCTGCTATCTTTCCCAAGAAGTCATGGCAATTCACAGATAATAAAGAAAAGGAATCAGTGGAGAGCCATGATCACCTATATCCTGAAAGGAGAATGAAAACTCTGAATTCAAAACCATAGAGGAGACAACAGGAAACCACTCTGCTATCTTTCCCAAGAAGTCATGGCAATTCTCAGATAATAAAGAAAAAGGAATCAGTGGAGAGCCATGATCACCTATATCCTGAAAGGGAGAATGAAAACTCTGAATTCAAAACCATAGAGGAGACAACAGGAAACCACTCTGCTATCTTTCCCAAGAAGTCATGGCAATTCTCAGATAATAAAAAAAAGGAACATGGAAGAGGAACTATATCCTGAAAGAATGAAAAACCATGAATTCAAAACCATAGAAGACAACAGGAAACCACTCTGCTATCTTTCCCAAAGAAGTCATGGCAATTCACAGATAATAAAGAAAAGGGAACATGTGGAGAGCCATGATCACCTATATCCTGAAAGGAGAATGAAAACTCTGAATTCAAAAACCATAGAGGAGACAACAGGAAACCACTCTGCTATCTTTCCCAAGAAGTCAAAGCAATTCACAGATAATAAAGAAAAAGGAATCAGTGGAGAGCCATGATCACCTATATCCTGAAAGGGAGAATGAAAACTCTGAATTCAAAACCATAGAGGAGACAACAGGAAACCACTCTTCTATCTTTCCCAAGAAGTCATGGCAATTCTCAGATAATAAAGAAAAGGAACATGTGGAGAGCCATGATCAAAACTCTGAATCCAAAAAAGAGGAGACAATGAAAACTATCTTTCCCAAAGAATTCAAAACCATAATAAGGAAAACAACAGGAAACCACTGAAGGGAAAATCTTTCCAAAAGAAGACAAAACAATATCTTTCAGATAATAATAAAGAAAAAGGAATCAGTGGAGAGCCATGATCACCTATATCCTGAAAGGGAGAATGAAAACTCTGAATTCAAAAAACCATAGAGGAGACAACAGGAAACCACTCTTCTATCTTTCCCAAGAAGTCATGGCAATTCTCAGATAATAAAGAAAAAGGAAAAGTCAGTGGAGAGCCATGAATTCAAAACCATAGAGGAGACAACCTATATCCTGAAAGGGAGAATGAAAACTCTGAATTCAAAACCATAGAGGAGACAACAGGAAACCACTCTGCTATCTTTCCTAAGAAGTCATGGCAATTCTCAGATAATAAAGAAAAGGAATCAGTGGAGAGCCATGATCACCTATATCCTGCAGGGAGAATGAAAACTCTGAATTCAAAACCATAGAGGAGACAACAGGAAACCACTCTGCTATCTTTCCCAAGAAGTCATGGCAATTCACAGATAATAAAGAAAAGGAATCAGTGGAGAGCCATGATCACCTATATCCTGCAGGGAGAATGAAAACTCTGAATTCAAAACCATAGAGGAGACAACAGGAAACCACTCTGCTATCTTTCCTAAGAAGTCATGGCAATTCTCAGATAATAAACAAAAGAAAAGGAATCCTGAAAGGAGAAGAAAACTCTGAATTCAAAAACCATAGATGACAACAGGAAACCACTATCTTTCCCAAGAATCATGGCAATTCTCAGATAATAAAGAAAAGGAAACAGTGGAGAATGAAAATCCTCTGAATTCAAAACCATAGAGGAGACAACAGGAAACCACTCTATCTATCTTTCCAAAGAAGTCATGGCAATTCACAGACAAAGGAAAAAAAAAGGAATCAGTGGAGAGCCATGATCACCTATATCCTGAAAGGAGAATGAAAACTCTGAATTCAAAACCATAGAGGAGACAACAGGAAACCACTCTGCTATCTTTCCCAAGAAGTCATGGCAATTCACAGATAATAAAGAAAAGGAACAGTGGAAGCCATGATCACCTATATCCTGAAAGGGAGAATGAAAACTCTGAATTCAAAACCATAGAGAAGACAACAGGAAACCACCACTGCTATCTTTCCAAAACAACAGGAAACCACTCTGCTATCTTTCATGGCAATTCACAGATAATAAAGAAAAGGAATCAGTGGAGAGCCATGAAACCTATATCCTGAAGAGGAATGAAAACTCTGAATTCAAAAAACCATAGAGGAGACAACAGAAAACCACTCTGCTATCTTTCCCAAGAAGTCATGGCAATTCACAGATAATAAAAGAAAAGGAATCAGTGGAGAGCCATGATCACCTATATCCTGAAAGGGAAATGGAGAATGAAACCACTCTTCTATCTTTCCCAAAAACCAATTCTGATAATAAAGAAAATTCAGTGGAAAACCTATATAGGGAGGAAAAGACAACAGGAAACCACTCTGCTATCTTTCCCAAGAAGTCATGGCAATTCACAGATAATAAAAGAAAAGGAATCAGTGGAGAGCCATGATCACCTATATCCTGAAAGGAGAATGAAAACTCTGAATCAATAAAAAAACCATAGAGGAGACAACAGGAAACCACTCTGCTATCTTTCCAAAGAAGTCATGGCAATTCACAGATAATAAAGAAAAGGAAAAGTGGAGAGCCATGATCACCTATATCCTGAAAGGAGAATGAAAACTCTGAATTCAAAACCATAGAGGAGACAACAGGAAACCACTCTGCTATCTTTCCCAAGAAGTCATGGCAATTCACAGATAATAAAGAAAAGGAAACAGTGGAGAGCCATGAATATCCTGAAAGGGAGAATGAAAACTCTGAATTCAAAACCATAGAGGAGACAACAGGAAACCACTTCTATCTTTCCCAAGAAGTCATGGCAATTCACAGATAATAAAGAAAAGGAATCAGTGGAGAGCCATGATCACCTATATCCTGAAAGGGAGATGAAAACTCTGAATTCAAAACCATAGAGGAGACAACAGGAAACCACTCTGCTATCTTTCCCAAGAAGTCATGGCAATTCTCAGATAATAAAGAAAAGAAAAGGAATCAGTGGAGAGCCATGATCACCTATATCCTGAAAGGAAAATGAAAACCTGAATTCAAAACCATAAAAAGACAACAGGAAACCACTCTTCTATCTTTTTCCCAAAAGTCAGTGAGCAATGATCAGATAATGAAAAAAAAAAAGGAATCAAAAGTGGAGAGCCATGATCACCTATATCCTTCCCAGGAGAATGAAAACTCTGAATTCAAAACCATAGAGGAGACAACAGGAAACCACTCTGCTATCTTTCCCAAGAAGTCATGGCAATTCACAGATAATAAAGAAAAGGAATCAGTGGAGAGCCATGATCACCTATATCCTGAAAAGGGAGAATGAAAACTCTGAATTCAAAACCATAGAGGAGACAACAGGAAACCACTCTTCTATCTTTCCAAAGAAGTCATGCAATTCAGATAATAAAGAAAAGGAATAATAAAAAAAAGGGAATGAAAACTCTGGAAACCATAGAGGAGACAATCACCTATCTTTCCAAAGAAATGTCAATTCACAGATAATAAAAGAAAAGGAACAGTCTGAATATATCAAAACCATCTGAATTGGAGACAACAGGAAACCACTCTGCTATCTTTCCCAAAAAGTCATGGCAATTCACAGATAATAAAGAAAAGGAAAGGAAGATCCTGAAAGGGAATGAAAACTCTGAATTCAAAACCATAGAGGAGACAACAGAAACCACTCACTTCTATCTTACCAAAAAGCAAGTCAATGTCAATTCATGGCAATTCACAGATAATGAAAAGGAATCAGTGGAGAATGAAATATCCTGAAAGGAGAATGAAAACTCTGAATTCAAAACCATAGAGGAGACAACAGGAAACCACTCTGCTATCTTTCCAAAAGAAGTCATGGCAATTCACAGATAATAAAGAAAAGGAACAGTGGAGAGCCATGATCACCTATGAAAGGGAGAATCTCTGAATTCAAAACCATGAGGAGACAACAGGAAAACTCTGAATCTTTCCCAAAACCAATTAGATAATAAAGAAATGGAACATGAAAGGATATCCTGAAAGGAGACTGAAAATCTGAATTGAAAAACCATAAGAGACAACAGGAAACCATTCTATCTTTCAAGGCAATTAATAAAAAGAAAAGGAATCAGTGGAGAGCCATGATCACCTATATCCTGAAAGGGAGAATGAAAACTCTGAATTCAAAAACCATAGAGGAGACAACAGGAAACCACTCTGCTATCTTTCCCAAGAAGTCATGGCAATTCACAGATAATAAAAGAAAAGGAATCAGTGGAGAGCCATGATCACCTATATCCTGAAAGGAGAATGAAAACTCTGAATTCAAAACCATAGAGAAGACAACAGGAAACCACTCAATTCTCAGATAATAAAGAAAAGGAATCAGTGGAGAGCCATGATCACCTATATCCTGAAAGGGAAAATGAAAACTCTGAATTCAAAACCATAGCCCAGGGCTGAGCATGCTTAAATTAGTAGGAGTTTTGGGTTTCGTGAGGGTTAGGTTACTTAGAATAATGGCACAAGTAAACAAAAGAACTAAAACAAAGCAAAGAAAAAAGTTTAAAATACAGTGGTAATAAAGAATGAAGGAAGGAGAGAAAGAAGGAAAACAGTTGGAATAAGTAGCATGGTTAGTCAAGAAAAAATAAAATGAAGGATGACTATAATAAGAAAAAAAGAAAGAAATAAAGAAAGAAGAAAGAAAAAGGAAAAAGAAAGAAAGAAAAAAAAGAAGAAGTCTAAATAAATGATCAAGAATAGATAATGATAAAAAAGAAAGAATGAAAGAAAAATAGGAAGGAAGAAATGAACAAAAAGACTGGAAGAAAGAAAATAAACAAATAAAAGCATTATGAAAAAACGGAGTAAGAAAAACAACAAAGCCAAAATAAACAAGCAAGAAAAGAACAAGAATATGAAAAAGAAAGGAATGAATATGAAAAAGAAAAAAAAAAGACTTTTGCAAAAAGAAAGAATAATAAAGAAAGACAGAATATGAAAATAAAAGAAAAAGAATATGAAACAAGAAAGAAAGAAAGAAAAAAGAAAGAAAGAAAGAAAAAAAAAAAATAATGAAAATGAAAAGAGATCATGACAAAATGAAATGAATCAGGGAGAGGATAATAAATAAAAAATAAAAACACAAATTGAAAAGAAAGTGAGAAAGAAAAAAGAATGGAAAAAGGAAAGTAGAAATAAAAAGAAAAAAGAAATAGACAAAGAAAGGAAACCAATGAAAGAACAATGATAAAAAAAAAAAAAATGAAAAAAGAAAAGAAAGGAAGGTATGAAGAAGAAAAAAGATGGATGGAGTGATTGCTTTTTGTTTATAACCCTTTGTAAGAAAAATAATAATACAGTAAAATGTAAAGAAAAACATAAATAAATGTAGTGAAGAAAGCAAAAAAAAACTTTGGGAAAAAGGAAAGAAAATACAAGGCCAAAAAGTTAAAAAAAACAAGAAATAAGAGATATTTAGGACAGGAAAAATTAACAAATATAAAAAGAAATAAAGTGAAGAAACAAAACAAACAACTTTGAAATTGAAAAAACATGGAAACAAAAGATGTAGGAAAAATGTTTCATATAAATGAAAGAAAAGGAAAATAAGAAACTAAAAAAAAAAAAAAAAATGCTGACATTGAAATATAAGATAGGATAAAATGAGTGATTCCAAGAAAATGAAAAAAATATGAAGATGAATGAAGAAAAAGAGAGAATTACATGACTGAAACTGATAAAAAAAAAAGAAGAAATTTTCTTTTTACACTTTCCAAACTTTCAAATTTTCTTACATTTCATTTCAAGCCGCCTTCTCCTTCGTCTTTTTATAAATTGTTCTTCATTTGTCCATTTTTTCAACTTTTTCTTCCTTGCTTTTATTCTTTCTTCAATTTCCTTTTTTAAATCAGTTCTTTGATTCTATTATTCT